ATTGTCATTTATTTCTAGGTATTTTTTGATTTCCTCTTTGATTTCTTCAGTGTTCTCTTGGTTATTAAGTAGTGTATTGTTTAACCTCCATGTGTTTGTATTTTCTACAGGTTTTTTCCTGTAATTGATATCTAGTCTCATAGCATTGCAGTCGGAAAAGATGCTTGATATGATTTCAGTTTTCTTAAATTTACCAAGGCTTGATTTGTGACCCAAGATATGGTCTATCCTGGAGAATATTCCATGCACACTTGAGAAGAAAGTGTATTCTGTTATTTTTGGATGGAATGTTCTATAAATATCAATTGAGTCCATCTTGTTTAATGTGTCATTTAAAGCTTGTATTTCCTTATTTCTTTTCATTTTGGATGATCTGTCCAGTGGTGAAAGTGGGGTGTTAAAGTCCCCTACTATGATTGTGTTACTATCAATTCCCCCTTTTATGGCTGTTAGCATTTGCCTTATGTATTGAGGTGCTCCTATGTTGGGTGCCTAAATATTTAAAATTGTTATATCTTCTTCTTGACTTGATCCCTTGATCATTATGTAGTGCCCTTCTTTGTCTCTTGTAATAGTCTTTATTTTAAAGTCTGTTTTGTCTGATATGAGAATTGCTACTCCAGTGTTCTTTTAATTTCCATTTACATGGAATATCTTTTTCCATCCCCTCATTTTCTGTCTGTATGTGTCCCTAGGTCTGAAGTGGGTCTCTTGTAACAGCATATATACGGGTCTTGTTTTTCTGTCCATTCAACCAGTTTATGTCTTTTGGTTGGAGCATTTAATCCATTTACATTTAAGGTAATTATCGATATGTATATTCCTATGACCATTTTCTTAATTGTTTTGGGTTTTTTATTGCAGATCTTTTCCTTCTCTTGTGTTTCCTGCCTAGAGAAGTTACTTTAGCATTTGTTTGTAAAGCTGGTTTGGTGGTGCTTAATTCTCCTAGCTTTTGCTTGTCTCTAAAGGTTTTTATTTCTCCATCGAATCTGAGTGAGATCCTTGCTGCATAGAGTAATCTTGGTTTTAGGTTTTTCCCTCTCATCACTTTAAATATGTCCTGCCACTCCCTTCTGGCTTGAATAGTTTCTGCTGAAAGATCAGCTGTTAACCTTATGGGGATTCCCTTGTATGTCATTTTTCTCTTGCTGCTTTTAATATTTTTTCTGTGTATTTAATTTTGGATAGTTTGATTAATAAGTGTCTTGGCATGTTTCACTTTGGATTTATCCTGTATGGGACTCTCTGTGCTTCCTGGAGTTGAGTGACTATTTCCTTTCCCATATTAGGGAATTTTTCAACTATGATCTCTTCAAATATTTTCTCAGTCCCTTTCTTTTTGTCTTCTTTTTCTGGGACCCCTATAATTCAACTGTTGGTGCATTTAATGTTGTCCCAGATGTCTCTGAAACTGTCCTCAATTCTTTATTTTCTTTATTCTGCTCTGCAGTAGTCATTTCCACTATTTTATCTAACAGGTCACTTATCAGTTCTTCTGCATCAGTTATTCTGCTATTGTTTCCTTCTAGAGAATTTTTAATTTCATTTATTTTGTTGTTCATCATTGTTTGCTCATTAATTCTTCTAGGTCCTTGTTAAACGTTTCTTGTATTTTCTCCATTCTATTTCCAGAATTTTGGATCATCTTTACTATCACTACTCTGAATTCTTTTTCAGGTAGACTGCCTATTTCCTCTTCATTTGTTTAGTCTGTTGGGTTTTTACCTTGCTTATTCATCTCCTGTGTGTTTCTCTGTCTTCTCATTTTGCTTAACTTACTGTGTTTGGGGTCTCCTTTTCACAGGCTGTAGATTTGTAGTTCCCATTGTTTTTGGTGTCTGCCCTCAGTGGCTATGGTTGGTTCAATGGGTTTTGTATGCTTCATTGTGCAGGGTACTAGTGCCTGTGTTCTGGTGGATTAGGCTGGATCTTGTCCTTCTGGTGGACAGGACCACGTCCGGTGGTGTGTTTTGGGGTGTCTGTGACCTAATTATGCTTTTAGGCAGCCTCTCTGCTAATGGGTGGTGTTGTGTTCCTGTCTTGCTAGTTGTTTGGCATGGGGTGTCCAGCACTGCAGCCTTCTGGTCATTGAGTGGAGCTGGGTCTTAGAATTGAGATGGAGATCTCTTGGAGAGCTTTCGCCAGTTTGATATTACATGGAGCCAGGAGGTCTCTGGTGGACCAATGTCCTGAACTTGGCTCTGCCACCTCAGAGGCACAGGTGTGACATCCAGCCAGAGCACCAAGACCCTGTCAGCCACACGGCTCAAAAGAAAAGGGAGAAAAAAAGAAAGAAAGAAAGAGAGAGAGAGAGAGAGAGAGAGAGAGGGATGGAGGGAGGGAGGGAGGGAGGAAGGAAGGAAGAATAAAATAAAGTTATTAAAAGTAAAAAAAATTAAAAAGTAATTTAAGAAAAGAAAGAAAGAAGAGAGCAATGAAACCAAAAAACAAATCTACCATGGTAACAAGTGCTAAAAACTATACTAAAAGAAAAACAAAAACAAACCAAAAAAAAAAGGACAGAGTTATACAGACCAAATACACAAAGAAGCATACACATACACACTCACAAAAAGACAGAAAGGAAAAAAATATATATATTGTTGCCCCCAAAGTCCACTGCCTCAATTTTGGGATGATTCGTTGTCTATTCAGGTATTCCACAGATGCAGGCTACATCAAGTTGATTGTGGAGCTTTAATCCGCTGCTTCTGAGGCTGCTGGGAGAGATTTCCCTTTCTCTTCTTTGTTCTCACAGCCCCCAGGGGCTCAGTTTTGGATTTGGCCCCGCCTCTGCGTGTAGGTCGCCTGAGGGCGTCTGTTCTTCGCTCAGACAGGATGGGGTTAAAGTAGCAGCTGCTTCGGGGGCTCTGGCTCACTCCTGCCACGAGGAGGGAGGGGTACGGATGCGGGGCGAGCCTGCGGCGGCAGAGGCCAGCATAACGTTGAACCACCGTGTGGCGCACCGTGCGTTCTCCTGGGGAAGTTGTCCCTGGATCATGGGACCCTGGCGGTGGCGGGCTGCACAGGCTCCCGGGAGGGTAGGTGTGGATAGTGACCTGTGCTCACACACAGGTCCCTGGTGGCAGCAGCTGCAGCCTTACCGTCTCACGCCCGTCTCTGGAGCTCCTTTAGGAGGTGCTCTGAATCCCCTCTCGTCACACACCAGGAAACAAAGAGGGAAGAAAAAGTCTCTTGCCTCTTCGGCAGCTCCAGACTTTTCCCAGACTCCCTACTGGCTAGCCGTGGTGCACTAACCCCTTCAGGCTGTGTTCACGCCGCCAACCCCAGGCCTCTCCCTGCGCTCCGACCGAAGCCCGAGCCTCAGCTCCCAGCCCCGCCCGCCCCGGCGGGTGAGCAGACAAGCCTCTCGGGCTGGTGAGTGCCGGTCGGCACCGATCCTCTGCGGGAATCTCCCCGCTTTGCCCTCCGCACCCTGTGGCTGGGCCCTCCTCCATGGCTCCCAAGCTCCCCCCTCCGCCACCCGCAGTCTCCGCCCGCGAAGGGCCTCCTAGTGTGTGGAAACCTTTCCTCCTTCACGGCTCCCTCCCACTGGTGCAGGTCCCTTCCGTATTCTTTTGTCTCTGTTTATTCTTTTTTCTTTTGCCCTACCCAGGTACGTGGGGACTTTCTTGCCTTTGGGGAAGTCTGAGGACTTCTGCCAGTGTTCAGTAGGTGTTCTGTAGGAATTGTTCCACATGTAGATGTATTTCTGATGTATTTGTGGGGGGGACGGTGATCTTCATGTCTTATTCTTCTGCCACCTTGAAGCTCGAGCCTTATACTTTTCAAATAAATTTTTCTAATGAAGTTCCTCTTGCTTTTGTTAGCTCTCAAGGCTAACATGGTGTAGTGGAAAGTGCAGTGCTATGTTGGGAAGATCACAGTTTTCGAGGGAGACAAAACTGGGTTCTGATCCCAGTTCAGCTATTTACCACCTGTATTTTCAGGTAGTAAATAACAGAACTGTGATCAGTTATCCTCCCGGATGTTGAGTTTTGCCATGTGTAAAAATGAGAATAATCATCTAAATCCTTAATTGAACAACCAGTCAATAGACCTAACATACTGCCTGGTTCATAGCAGGCCCTCAAATTACTTAACTAGATGATATATGAATCATTATTGTTATCCAACCAGGTTTGTTTGCCCAATATGCAGCAAGTCAAAATGCAGAGATGCCTAGGTTTGCAGGAAAGAGAGGGTTTATTCACAAGGCAGCCAAGTAAGGAAATGAGGAACAAGTCTCAGAACCACCTCCACAAAGGCAAGGGCTTGGGGGTATTTATGAGGAAAAATAAAGAAGCAGGGTGGTCTAAGGCATGGGGAGCATGGGGAAAGGTGATTAGAAAAACGTGCAGTAATTGTTGTTCCACACAGGTGTAACTCATCTACAGGCTTCTGTTCACTCAAAAATGAAGGCCCGGGCTTCCCTGGTGGTGCAGTGGTTGAGAGTCCGCCTGCCAATGCAGGGGACACAGGTTCATGCCCCGGTCTGGGAAGATCCCACATGCCGCGGAGTGGCTAGGCCCGTGAGCCATGGCTGCTGAGCCTGCGCGTCCGGAGCCTGTGCTCCTCAACGGGAGAGGCCACAACAGTGAGAGGCCCGTGTACCGCAAAAAAAAAAAAAAAGGAAGGCCCTTTGCAAGATCTGAGGGTGGAGTTTTCAGCCCTCTGATGTCAAAAGATCACCCAGTGAACACTCACGTGTGCCCAGTTGAAGGGTCAGTGGTCCTATCCTGTTTTAACCAGCTCAGCTCAGAGTAGGCACAGCTAACTTCAAGTTCCTGGAAAATGACTCAAGCAAACATCTTATTGTTTAGGCAAGGTGCTCTTGGAGGACATGCAAGTCTTTTGTAGACCTTGATTAATGAAGTCAGGTGAAATAGATTTGACTAATGATTACCCACAGTTTCATTATTTTTGAAAGAGTAGCAAGTGAAAAGAAAATGGCTACAATGTTTTGAACATTTTTCACTTTCTTCTTGTTTTACCAGAGGACGACTTTTTTCATGAACTCCCAGAAACCTTTCCATCTGATCCACCTGAGCCTCTGCCACATTTCCTTATTGAGCCTGAAGAAGCTTATATTGTGAAGAATAAGCCTGTGAACCTGTATTGTAAAGCCAGTCCCGCCACCCAGATCTACTTCAAGTGCAATAGTGAATGGGTTCATCAGAAGGACCACATAGTAGATGAAAGGGTAGACGAAACCTCTGGTGAGTTTTCCATTGTATTTGGACTGCTGTTTAGGATTCACTTACTACTTTGGCATGTTGTCATATTCTTTCAATTACTGAAATTGAAAATAGAATTATTATCCTTTGGTAAAAAGTTTTAAATCAGTTTGGTTAAGATTTGGTGATCTCTTTCCATGCATTGCAAAGTAAAATGTGATGAGTAAATCTTGATTTGATTCCTGTTAGACTGCATAGAATTAAGGCATGGTTCATGCTTAAGAAGATAAATAATGAGAATGAATAGACTGAATTATGGTAAATAAAATACCCCAGTAAAAGATGACCTTGAATTTCACTTGTGCCTCAAGTCTGGTGTCAGGTCTAAATATCCTGGGATTGAGGAACATTTTCAATTAAGGATAAATTGTAGATGTTTACATGATGGTCAAATGTTAATTTCCATGCATAGTTTCCCCTTATATATTTTTAAACAATTTGTAAACATTGTAGACTCAAAATATTCTGTACCTTTAATTTACATCTAAAAATGAATCCTAATTACCTAATTCTTGGCTAAAGTTAAATCAAGAGTGATTGAGAATAGTGATATTGTGGGATCCACAAAGAGAAGTTGTGGGTGTAGACTCCATCTGGGTGGGTCTTCATCACAGTATCTTTGCTTCTGGCATTGTTAAAACTCCTGGCTTTATTGCTCTGTAAACATCATTCTTAATAGTAAAATACTAAAGGCAAAGAGGATGAAGTAGATCTTAATAAACAGTGGGATTTACACTGGCTATAAAGGAAACTTTCTTGTTAGGAAATCTTTATTCCACAATGGGTAAGTTAAGATAGTTCTGGAAACCCCTAGAGTTATTTTAAACTTAAAAGATATATATCTTTCTATAGTGATTCAACAGTTTTTGGTCTCCAGTAGGAAGAATAACAATTTGAACTTTCACATCCCTTCTAGATCTGTGATTTTACATTGACATGTATTTTAAAAATTAAGCCTTTATTGATCAATATGTCCAAGCTAAATAGTGACAAATATGATAAAAGTGAAAGCATTTAAATATCTTCATTTTCTTTCATAAATATCTCTACGTACCAAAATGGATACATGTTTTCAAAATTCAATTGTAATTAATTCATATTTGTATCCAAATGTTGCTTAATGAGGGGCAAGCAGTGACCAGCATTTGAAGGAAATCTGCTTTCAGTGTCTCTAATAATAAAGAGCTATTAGGTGATGGAACATAAATATAACAGACTGTGAGAGGCCTGAGAAGAGGCATCTTTAAAAAAAAATTCATGCGAGACATATACTTATGTAACACAAATGGTCTTAGAAAATCAGGTGGCAGCTCTACATAACTGTCAATTTGTGAATCAATATGCTCACTGCATGCAAGCTGATGACTATAGAAATAACTGGGTATCCAACTGTATGGTCTCTTCCTTCAGGGAATTGGTCTATTACACCTCTTGGTCTAACTACTCAGTAAATAACTCCACCAGATGTCTTCAAAATCTCGTGAATTGAGTTTTATTTGTTTCAGCTCATTTATTTGTAAAGATTTCAAACACACACATTTTAATAGTAAGAGGAAAAGAAAGAAATCACAAAACTAAAATGAGAGTCTTAAACATACTTAGGCTTGTCTTTACTAGATTAATGAAAAAGCTTTTATAGGAAGATTGTAAATAAAGACAAAAGTGCTCTGATATGGAGCACCTCTAGCAGCTTTATGCTATCTTGGTAATGTGTGTGTGTGTGTATGTGTTTGTGTGTGTGTGTATTTTTATTTTCTTTTTAAAAGACATTTCCTCTCCATAAAGCATTATATTTTTTACTATTTCCACATAAAATTAATTAGTATTGCATATACCAATGATTAAAAATACTTCTTAAAGCAACTATAAATGAAAATATATGGCATGTTTCAAGTTCAGAAGGGAATAGAGTAGAGCTAAGGAAAGATTTATCAGCCCTAATACTTGCATAGTATTCATATTTGGAGTGGAACACAGCATACATTTTTGTTGTCTTTTGTTTTGATCCAAAACTGTACAAGATAGTGAGCATCCAGGAGAATGATTACCTTTAGATTTAGGAAAAAGACAGAGATACCCACAGATACTAGTATTATTTGGTATTGTTCTTAACACACTAGCCAATGCAATTAGACAAGACAAATAATTGAAAAACATAAAAATTATAAAGCATGTTGAAAACTATCATTTGGACAAATATGATTTTTCTAGGTCTGGAAAACTTATGCAGTTTCATAGGAAAAAATTGAAAAGACATTAAGAGAATATAGAAAAGTGGCTGATAAAAGATATACATAACCCATCAACTTTTCTAAGTACAGTTGATTCAAATTATAATGGAATAAAATATATAATTTACAATAACAATGTAAAAAATGTAGATACAAAGCTATCAAGAAATTTGTAGAATTTTAAAAGAATATAAAAATTTAGGGCTTCCCTGGTGGCGCAGTGGTTGAGAGTCCGCCTGCCGATGCAGGGGACACAGGTTCATGCCCCAGTCCAGGAAGATCCCACATGCCACAGAGTGGTTGGACCCGTGAGCCATGGCCACTGAGCCTGCGTGTCCGGAGCCTGTGCTCCACAACGGGAGAGGCCACAACAGTGAGAGGCCCGCGTACTGCAAAAAAAAAAAAAATCTACTCAGAGACCAAAAAAAATAGAATGACTTGAATAAATAGAAAGACATATCTTGTTCTTAGATAGAAAGACAATATTTTTAAATGTTTGCTATTTGTAAATGAATCCATAAAGTCACCAACATAGTATGAAAAATAATTTGTGAAAATAGCTGGAAGAATGATAAAATAGTAGCATAATAAGGAAATACCAGCTTTTTATAAGTGTATTATAAGGCTAAAGAAGTTTGATCATAGCAAAGAATAAGATACACAGATTAAAGGACCAAAATAGAAACCAGGAAATGAAATCTAAGGCATTTTACAATATGTTGAAGATGATTTTTAAACCCACAACGTAGGCAGTTGGAAAAGTAATAAATAAATAAATAAAGCTTGAGTTCTAGATCATTCTTTAGAATAAAATAAATTCTAGATGTTAGGGCTTAACATCATCATCATTATCATCATCACTGTCATCATTCTTGTCATTGGTAGTCATCACCATCGTCACTAGGAGAAAATTTTGGCAATTTTTTGGTTGGTTGTTTGGTTTCAATGGTGATCAAAGCTTTTTTAATGAAGACAAAATCCAGAAGCTTTATAAGAAAACATTATTTTTTAAAAAAGCATTATTAAATTTAAATAAAGCAAGAAAAGCACAGAAACCAAGGGACAGATATATACTAATCAAAGGGCTAATTTAATTAATATATTACTAGCACTTAAAATATGTTTAAGAAAAAGATCTGCAACCCAGTATAAAAAATTGAGCAGAGTTTCGAAATGGAGGTATAGGAAAAGAAATGTAAATGGTAAATACGCATCTAAGAAAATGTTGTCAAGATCAGAACAGTTCTTAGTATACAGTGTTGATGAAGGAGTGGGATAGAGGTATTTCAACTTTGTTGATGAGGTTGCAAATTGATGTAATCTTTTTGAAGATCAATTTGAAAATACCTATCAATATTTAAATGTATACACTCTTTAACTCAGTAACTCCAAGTTTAGGAACTATCTAAAAATAAAATTCCTAATGAGCACAAAGACTTGTGTGAAAGGTGGTCCATTGCACCCTTGTTGCAGTTAGCATATCAAGGGCTGTTCAACTCTAGGATGGAATATTGTGCTGCTTTGTAAAACAGTGAGGTTTCTCCATATGTGAAGCTGTAGAAAAATCTCTCAGGTAAAATATGAAATGAAAACCAAAGTACAGAACATTGTGTGCAATATGTCCTTATTATGGAAAAAAGAGAATGCACATGTATTTGTCTATGCATTGGGATTTTTTTGAGAAACATACAAGCAGTTGAAAGGTCAGAATCTGGGGCAGTAAGATACTTCTATTATTGTTGGATTTTTGTTCAATCCTGTGAACGTTTTATTTTCTTGATAGATAATGAAACCTGAATTTTAAAAGCCCAAACTACTTTATTGCGTCTCTTTGCCTGTTATTATAAATCTCCAATCTGTACAACTACTGGAAGTGGGGGGATTTGTAGGCCTCATATTAGAGCTCTTTACTTTCCTGTGAGATCAGAACACTGTGAATGGAATTGAACTGCTCGGTTTGGGGGTTTTTTCCTCTGAAGTTAGATTCACCTGCAACTTTGGTGCTCAACTCTTTATTTAATACAGTCTGAGTATTGTTTTGTTATGGGCCTTAGTGATTCTTAATATCAAGAAATGTTGGGATACATTGTCTTTAAATATATTACAAATTACAGAAATTTTCTTGGCATTTTAAAAATCAAATTGGTTCTCAGATGATAGGACAGAGAGAAGTCATTGCAAAAAGTTTGTTTTTATAGGTCCCTCTACCTTAGAATAATGATATCTGGAAGCATGTGGCAATCAGGTACATTGCCTTGCAACTAAGAAAAATCAACTGCATTCAGTAAAATCTCCATTAGAAGTACGTTTTAATTAAAAAACTACAAAATAATAAAACAAAAAAGAACAAAAGTTTCTCTCCAATTCACAAAATTCTTCCTTTTAATATGTAAATGATTATTAATAAGTATTTAATAAGTAAATGATTATTTATATTCACTGAGCGAAGCTATTCCATTGATCATAAAATATACTGATTAAAGATCATTCATTACTGTTACTGTTTGCTTTTCCATCATTTAAATCATGTTTGCATTTCTTGAAAACATGTAATATTAAGAAACAGAAGAGTGGAAAGCAGCATATATCAGATGGTTTAGAAATTTTCAATGTTGAGAAGCTCTTGATTTGATAATATAGTAATCAGTACCCATGTTCCTTTCAGGATTCCAAAGAAATTTTGATCTACTCAAAATTTTATGGTTACATTTTTACGAAAAGCTCAGGCTTGGTTGCTTGCTTTCTATTTAC